TACAGGGGAAACTGAATCATGAAAAATTAAAGAAAAATTTAAAAATTTAAGTATAAAGCTTCACCCTGACAAACTTGGAAATACATTTCGTTTTTTAAGCAAAAAATGTAAGCTATAGCATTTTTATTGAACATAATATTTATAGTTAAGTCAGTGGATATCTTTCTGAAAAGACACGCATTCTAGTGTTTAGTTCGTGATCCAAAATATCATGCAATTCGTAAAAATTCCATTGTTTTGTTGTCATACTTGTCGATCTCTGTTTTTCATTAATCTCTGTTTTTCAGTACTATAGTGCTTGACTATTAAAGAATACAGATCTCACAGCCATCACGATAGCTGAGTGGCTAAAATCCTTGCCTTGAATGCGCTGGGATCCCATATGTGCGCCAGTTTCTGTGCTTCCCATCCAGCTCCCTGCTTGTGGCCTGGGAAAGCAGCCCAAAGCTTTGGAACCCTGCACCCATATGTGAGACCTGGAAGAGGCTCCTGCCCCCTGGCTCCTGGTGTTTGCTTCGGCTCAGCTCTGAACATTGTCCACACTTTGCGAGCCAAGCAGCACTTGAAAGATCTTTGTCTCTGCTTCTCTGCAAATCTCACTTTCCAATACACAAGAAAAATAAATACATCTTTAAAAATTAATACAATTCTCCTCCTTGGCCCTCTTTCTGCTGTTCTTATTTGATTTCCAGGTAACTCTAGGTTAAGGTTCTGCTGAAGAGTCCACATGCCACATCAGAACACCTGGGTAAGTTTCACAGCTCCAGCTCTTCACTTCAGCCTCTTGATTATACAGACCCGAGAAGGCAGTGGTGTGCGATCAAGCATTTGGGTCACTTTCAACTATGTGTAAGACCTGGATTGAGTTCCTGTTACCTGACTTTAACCTAGTCCATCTCTGGCCCTTGTGAGCATTTGGGGATTGGATTAGTGGAAAGCACTCATCTGGTATCTCTCTGCTTCTGTCTCTAGATCTCTCAAATAACTTCGAAAAAGTGTTAGAAAAAGATTTATTTGATTCAGTTTACTTTTAGATGTCAAGATCTGTGAAATGTTTGTATTATCCTGACAGTAAGCTGTTAGCCTGGCATTTTTCACAGATACTAACAAAAGACACCAGCCTTCTAAATCTAACGAAGAACTTCATCTATGGCAGAGAACACAGCAGGTGTGTCATGTTGACATCAGTTTCCTGTATACCCAAAGTCACATAAGGGCAATTCCGAGTGCCATAGATAGACACCGAATGCATGTTTAGTTTATGCCACATATAAGGTGCTCATAATTATCAATTTTATATGTAATAAGGACTGTTTGAAAACATGTCAACCTTTATTCTTGAAGGGAACTTGTTTTTTTTTTTTTTTTTAAGATTTATTTTTATTATTTTTTGATTGGAAAGGCGGATATACAGAGAGGAGAGACAGAGAGGAAGATCCTCCGTCCGATGATTCACTCCCCAAGTGAGCGCAACGGGCCGATACTTTGCCGATCCGAAGCCAGGAGCCTCCTCCGGGTCTCCCACGCGGGTGCAGGGTCCCAAAGCCTTGGGCCGTCCTCGACTGCTTTCCCAGGCCACAGGCAGGGAGCTGGAAGGGAAGCGGGGCTGCCGGGATTAGAACCGGCGCCCACATGGGATCCCGGGCGTGCTAGGCGAGGACCTTAACCACTTGCGCCACCGCTCCGGGCCCGGGAACTTGTTTTTAACCTACTTAGAAAAAGGAATTTATCCTCTGCCCAGGAGGGAGTCACTATCTGCCACTTCAGAGCCTATTTTCTGTACAAAATATTTGTTAAAATATAGGACTTAAAGCTGTAAATATCTGTTCTCAATAGATATTGGATACAACACAGGCAACTTTCTTTCATCAGTGCCTTATTATAAGCTAGCATGAACTATAGTGGAGTTTGTTATTTACACTTTGAACCGACACTTAGGCTCATGTGTCCTTAATATCAGCACAAATGAATACAGTGAGAAAAAGAATAGTAAGTGATTCCTTATCAAATTCAAAGAGAATAGTAGCAATCATTTTAGGTCACCATACTGATCTTTTTCTCCTAATTAGTTACTCGATGAACTATAAATGCTTGCTATATAAATTTTGTTTAGAAGAATAAGTTTTACAACATTTTCAGAGTAAGTTATTAGGATTATGCTATTCAAATTTTAATTTGCTCGGTGGCTCCTTTTACTAGCGTGTTAAATTATTAATTTGTTTTTCAAGCTGACATTTGAGCAAATGATTATGGAATATCTTGATATTCTTTTGATATGCTACAATATTTCATGCTTCAATGTTGAATAATAGATATTATAATTGAAGTCTGCATTACTGAGTCTATATGACTTTATAGTGCTTGATTCTTAGCACATTAATTACAGTTTCTGCATTTTTATTTCCTACAGACTGCTACAAGTAGAATTCCAAAATTGTACATCACATACATGTGTCTGCAGCCTCTTTATTCCATTTTAGTAAAATGAGTAATCCGTGTTATTTTTCTATGCAAAACTGAAACTCTATCAAATACAAAATATGCCACATAAGGGTGAGAAAAAATGAAATAGTTGAATATTCATTTTTGTTGTGATTTTACATTCTTTGGAATAATCTTCATGCTTTCAACATCACTTTTCAAGTATTTGTCACAAAGTGGAATAAAATTAAAACACATGTGAGACAATTTGAGTCGTTGATAATTTTGAAATTGTTAGGATTAAATATGTCCAAAATACAATTTACAAAGAAATATGATGCACTGATCATAGGAAAATAATGTCAAATGGACAACTTTATGTAAGATAAAATATGGTTTTAAATTATAGGTGATAAAATTGGAAACAATTAATATGGTGGTAAAAGGCTGCCATCTTCAGGGTTCTGTAATATTATTTCTTTAAAAAACGTATACTGTTTTCTTTAATGTTCTTTGTCATGTTACATAAAAGATATTCTTTTAAGTGATGATTTCTGTAGATTTGAAATATTAGAAATGTTTATTAAAATATAAAATCAATTAGAGTTCTGAAAATGAATATAATTCTAAAGTAATAAAATAAAATCCTGTATCTTTGATAGCAGAGAAGTTAATTTGTGATCATTTTAATAGTTTGTAAACTTTTAAAGCCAGAAATCTCTATTTTTGTACATTGGATAGTATTACTTACTGATCTTTTTCTAAGCAAAGCTTAATTCACTGGCTCTAGAAGTTGTGAAAATTTTTTCAATGGGTTTCAAGAGAAGCATGCCTCTTCTTTAGAAACTTCTGAATTTCTCATGTTGATCCAATCCTGATTTTGTTATTTCTAAATTTTAGTTTAAATAAATATGTTTATAATTTGGGAAAAAAAGTGAAACGTAAATGACATCCAGTTCTACTACTTTGTTCTGCAGTCAAATCATAATTTCAAATTTTTTGAATGCTTGCCAGCTGGAATATGAATTCCATGGATGTAATTTTAACATTGACAAAATGAGCTTTTAAAATCTAAATTATTATAATTTTCATTCTACCTCCAGTTAGCAAAAATGAGGAAACACTGGATAATTTTTTGGTTCATTTTACTGATATCTATTTGATAGTTCATGCTTTTTAAAACTGTATTTCTTATTCAAAAGAAAATGAGGTAAAGTAAAAATCATGTGTGTTTAAAATGGTTTTGAATTCAGATGCCTGAATTGTTTAAATTGTTTGTGTCAACTCATGGCTCACACAGAATAATTTTTTTTTTCTGTGTTTGTAAGATTCACTTTTACACATAAACAAATTTGACCTGTTATAGAGGTAGCTTTAGTTAGTGTTTGGAATTTCTGTTATGTATATCCGTAAACTTGACAGATTTTATAGGCTATTTTATATATAAATACACACTTATTAAATAAAGACTGCTATGCAAAAAGACTCTCATTAAATTGAATTCCAGCTGTGTTACACTATGATACAAAGATAATGACAGGCACTTACAGCATGACCTGGGAAAGTAATTAAATTTCCTGGAAACTCTTTCTTTTGCATTTTATTTTACCATAAAAGTACCAATATTTAAAAATTTTTTTGTGAAAAGTAGCATAGTAGTGATATTAATATAAATTATAAAGCTAGTGTGTTATACACAATGCAAATCAATAGATACATAAAATGCAGTTGTAAAATATAATTCTGATGGACACACAAATTAACGGAAAGATGAACCACACATGTTTAAGTTGGAAATAGCAGAAAGAGAACCTCTAATCGTAAGTCAGATTTTGTGCATATATACATATCTGTATATAAATAGGTAGACATATATTTAGGGGGAAGGCAAAACTCATAGGCACCATGGATCTGAATATAGAAGTGACCCCCAAAAAAAGATGATAAATTTAATGCTAAGGATTTAGTGTTTCTTCATTTCTTTTTCAAATTACTTTTCTTCCATCAGATAGGTTTCTTGGTAATAGTTTCATTTCTTATTTAATGTCATAATTTATATATGTGTGGCTTATTTATAGAATTTTGAAATTTTTTGTAATTATAGGAAATGATATAGTTATAATAATTACAACTTTCAATGCTTTAATTTTTTATTGAATTTATGGAGAACATTCAGATGATATATTTGGCAGAATCTCTGGAAACTTCCTATGACATTGTATAACACTCTAGTATATATGTGTGATATTTGTAAAGATGCTATTAACTTGGAATCTCTTGATGTGAACATTCTTCTTATTCAAAATTACATGTTCAGGAAGTGCAGAAATTCCTGTTTTACTTGCTCCCTAGATACGTATTCAAAGTTGTAGTATTTTGATGATTTTCTATAATAGTACATCACAGAAGTTCTTTTCTTCCCAAAGATGTTTCTTACCAAAGTATATTACTAATTTGTGTTTTCTTCTGCAGCTCCATATAAAAGCACTATAAAGTATAGTTATAATTTTTTCTCTCTTTTTAGTATTGGAATGAATTTTTCGAAGATCAGTTTGCAAAAAGCTCAATTTCTATATAATTTAATTACCTGGAGAACTGCAGGAATGTTGTTTGATGTCAACCAAATTGGTGAAAGTATTCCTGCAATTAGGACACAGGTATTCCCAGCCATCATTGGTGCTAACATTTACAACCCTGGTGTCATGGTGAGATCGCAAATCATCATTAAAATCTTTTCTGAAGATGTTTTCCGTGTAGGTCCGTGGAGCATGGAACACAAGCCTCACCATAGTATCATATTCACTCATCACTTCAGTATCATTCGTTTCATAAAACTTGCTGCATGCCCTTCTGTTCATGAGGGAAAGGTGATAGAACTTCCTCAAAGGTTTTCTCAACTCCATGTATCTTTCACCGTGAATCAGGACATTTGGGCGAGAGACAAACGCCATGTATTTTTGCTTCACATGCATGGTGCTTTGATTGCCTACTATGTGAGAGAAGTTCCCCCCTTGGAGTGTATGGAAAATTCCTTTTATATCACAGTTGTTAGCTAATGGGACTCTCCATGGAATTGAATAACGGAGAGGAATTTTGAAATTTATGGTGTTACAAAAATCATTTTTGTCCATTTCCATTTGCCCTGAGTAAAATCTTGGCAAATTAGTAAAGTTATTGTATCTAGCAATGCTTTGAAGAGGAACATTCAAATATATACCTCTACCAAATCCTGACAGGAAAAATTTTCTAGAAAAGGGCATCTTACCTAAGAGTGACTTTTGCTTAAAATCTTCTATTTGAGGACTCTTTTGAGTCTTCTCTGGGTTAGACTCATTCTTTTCTCCTACTTGAGAAACAGAGCGCTTGTGGGAATTTGACACGGTTGAATCTACATCTCCTGGATTGGTTTCTACCTGAGAAATCAATTTGGGATCAATAGCTGAAGGCTCTGTGTCTACATTACAATTATCACGAGCTTCCACTTCAGCGTTTTTGAGAGCACTGCCAGCAGAACCATTTCCTTTTTCAATAGGAGTCGTCATCCTGGGTTCTCTTTGTGAGAAAGAAGACAAAGAAATAGTAAGCATTTTCATTGAATAAAATGTGTCCAATTTACTGCCAGGTATTTAAAGAGAAAAATAAAAGGTATCATATATGAGCTTCTATGAGGCTATTTGAATACAACAGCCAGGATATCCAGTCAGCCTAAGTGCTCCATTGGTAGATGAGTGGATACGCAGCACATGATAACCTGTACACAATGCTTACTCAGCCATAACAACAACCCAGTTATTTATATGCATAAACAAAATTGAGCTCCTGGGGTCATTGTATTAAGTGAAACAGTTCAGCACAGAAAGGTAATTCCTATATATTCACACCTAAGTGTGAAGAATAAAAATTTCATCTCAGAAGTAGAATGTGGAATACTGATTACCAGAGTCTTAAAAAGGGTGGGGTGGGAGGAAAAAGGAGGAAGAAAAGTGTATTTGATGGGTAAAATGATGCAGTTGGATGGGAGGAATATGCTATAGAATTCTGGATTTTCCTACCACAAATGGAAGATGTTTGAGGTGATGGATATGCTAATTAACAGTCATTGCACACTGTTTGCATGCATTGAAATACCCTAATGTGTTTCATAAATATGTGCATATATGTGGCAATTACAAATAAGTATTACTCTTTGATATTCTGCCTTTCAACTAAAATGTATAAAAACTTAAAAATTACCAACTTTCTTCCTAATGTTTATATGAAAATATTCCTCAGGACTTGTTTCTTAAAATCGTACACTGCTTTTTCTTTGCCTTCTTCAAAATCGTCATACATGCCCAAGGATTGGCAATCATAATTTGGGCTATTAATAAGCCACAGAACTGTATTTTCAGGATTGTTTGTTTAGACATTTCAGCATAAGGATTTAAAACAAGAAAAGTAAGACTACTACATATTAGAAAACACCAAAATTAAGCAAATTGAACTCACAATGTTTGAAGATAATGTGTCCAGTCGCTTCTCAAATTGACTGAAAATCAGCGATTTGCTAGGAACAGAAGTTCCTGGCAATCATCCAGGCCTTGTCAGATGTATGCTGAAAAGAAGTTAGGACATTGTCATAAAGCAGGTGGACAATAGCCCCTACATCTTCTGTCCCCAGGAAAAGTAGTTATCCTACTTTCTTCTTTAGTGGAGTGTACTGTTTGACTTATCAAAATATCTAGAAGATGCAATGCTTATTTTCACATTCAGAAATGCCATTTTATATGCTATATCCATTGTACATTGAATATGCAAATATGATATATTTATGCTGTAGTGACTTTTTTGGCAACAGAGTATGTTAAATCTGAGTTTGTTATCTACTGCAAAGTAGTCACAACAGAAACCCTTGGTGCCAGCATGATGGCACAACTGGCTATTTCTGTACCTGGAAGCACTGGCACTGAATATGGGTGCCAGTTCATATTTTGGCTGCTGCAGTTCGATTCATCTCACTGGGATAGCAGTAGAAGTAGAAGTTGGGACCCTGCACCTGCATGGGATATCCAGAAGAATCTGATCTGCCTTTCAATAAAAATAAATAAAAAATCTGTACTCATAAGACTATGGCACAGTGGATTATCACTTTGTATACCCTTTCTTCATATCAGAGCTAATTTATTTTTTTAATAAAATACTTGAGAAAGAGAAAATTTCCAACTAATTTTTCCCTCCTTAATTGTGTGCAACAACAGGCACAGAAATAACAAATCAGGAACCAAAAAATATGTTCTGGGGCCCCACTTAAGTGGTAGAAACCACACAAGTGAGCCATCAAATAGTGCCTCTCAGGGTGTGCTTTGGAAGGAAGCTGAATTAGAAGCATTCCAGGAGCTGAACTATAAAGCTTCCCAGAATTGAACAAAAATGTGAAATATAGGTTTGAGAATTATATCAAAAATGCTGAAAGTTGCATGTCTTTTAGAGTTGAAATTTGGCACCCTGAGACAGTGTAGTGTGATCATTTATACTTTCTAAAGGATTCTTTTTTTAAAAAATGCTTATTTTTCTTTGGAAAGACAGATTTATAGAGAGGAGAGACAGATTTTGAATCTGCTGTCTCATTCCCCAAGTGGTCATAATGGCTAGAGCTGAGCCAATCAGAAGCCAGGAGTTTTTCTGGGTTTCCCACACAGCTGCAGGTTCCTAAAGCTTTGAGGCATCCTTTACTGATTTCCCAGTCCATAAGCAGGGAGTTGTATGGGAAGCTGGACAGCTGAAACAAGAACTAGCACCCATATGGGATACTAGTGCTTGGAGGTGTTTCATAGCCAGTTGATCTACCATGACATGCCCCTAGAGTATTGTTGTATAAGACATTATTAGATTGTAAATACTGTAACTAAAGATCCAAACTGATGTGTTTGGATATTCCCTTATGACCCACATTTTTACATAAAAGCCACTAAAAGCTCAAAAGAAATATGGGAAACTTGCCAAGACCCTGACTGCTTTGAATGTTACTCAATGAGATTCCATTACCTTCTAAGTTAATGATTGCTTGTTTTCTAGTCATTTTGTGTCTTCCAAGACCTACGTATTCTGGGAGAGCTGGATGCATCTTCCTCATTTTTTTTTTTAAAGTTACACGCCAAATTCTGTTTATGATTCAGCAACCTAGTCATAGCTTCTTTATATGGATGCCTCATATTTTCCCAGTGAAACATTGGGCCATATACAATTTCTCACCTTGTAGGACTGTTCTTCAAGTAGTAAAAGTTCCTGGCATGCATTCATGAGTTGACAAAGCTTCTAATCCCACATTAAGTTCCTCCCGTTGAGGGAATGTACCTCCTCCTCTTTTCTTTTGTCACTTTTTACCTTTAATGTATTTTCATCAATGCAGTGTTTGGTAATAAACAGACCAAGAACATTTCTCCATCTGAGACATGTTCAGAGAGACAAGCCTCAGAACAGCATCTCTGTGAACAAATGAGAAATCAAACAACCAAGGTTAGTTTAAAATAACTAATTAACCACAGTAAAAGGAACACCAAAACTAAGAAATACTCGTTAAATGACCTTATGCATCGCATCCACTTTCATTTCAACTCACCCTTTATCTCCATTCCCATCTGCACAAATCCAAGCAGGAGATATGCTTCAGTCTTTCCACTCTGCTCTGCTCTTCCACTCTCTACCCATCTTTATGCTTCTTGAGACTCCGCATCACAATGTCTTAAGAGTGTGGTAACCAGGCAACAAGAGCCCTCTCTAAAATGAGGGGGAGGGATGAAAAGAGAGGAATAACCGAAATATAACCCCAAATGGGGATCTCAAATTTCTTAAAGAAGACAGATAAACACTGGAAACTTCTATGAGTCAATGATTTTTGCCTCTTTAAGGAGGCAAAATGTTCGCATTGTGGGTAGCATTTTAAACTGCGACCTGTTATACTGGCATCCCATAATTCAATATGGATGCCAGTTTCTCCACCTGATCATTGTGGTCATTAAGTAATGAACAAGTAGTTGCCAATGCCGCCTCTCTCTCTTTTTGAGTAACTGGGATCTGATATGTTTAGACATACTTGCCACAGTCCTAGTTCTGATGCTTGCCAGTTGGAGTGGCAAGCTGGAAGAGAGGTGTGCACTGTTTCCCTAATGGATCCACTCCTACTCCAGCTAGTTTTGCAGTTTAACTTGACAGAATTATCCCTCCTTCTGTGCCAGCATCTGCCAGCTGATGCTGTGGCAAATCTCAACTAACCCACACCCACTCTGCTTGTGCATGCACAAACAGGAGCAGTCAACCCAGCCTGGCCTTCCCCTGATCCAGCTCACATGAAGCCAGCAGACGCTGTAACCCTGCTCAGCTTGGTCTGACCCTAATCCCAGCTCTCACACTCAACAGTGGGAATAGTGGTCCAACACCCCTAATGTGTTAACTCCTTACCCCCTGGGCCTCTTGTGTGCTGCAGCCAGATATGGCATGGCCCACCTCACCTCTACATTTGCCAATGGGTGCTGTAGCCTGGCCGAACCCGTCCCACCCCCAATTCCAGTTCATGCTGCTGGGGGATACAGCCTGACCCAGCCCACCTGGCACCAAGTCCTAGCTCTCATGTGTACTGGCATGTGTTGTTACAGAACCAGGCCCGACCCACAGTCCATTCTGGTGCTCAGATTCACCAGCAGGTGGTGTGGACTGGCCCTGCCTGGTTCGCCCCAAACCTGCGCCAAATGTATGCTGGTAGGTACCATTCCCTGGCCTTGTCTGGGCTGCTGCTTATCATGGTTCTTGCACTCACCTGCAGGGACTGTGTCCTGCCAGAGGAGTTTCCCAAGCTCCTCCATCAGAACCTCTCCCAATGCCATATCTCATGCACACTGGTGGGTCCATGGGCAAGCCTTCCTCAGTCCATTTCCTGTCCTAGCAGAAACAGTGGCCTCTCCTGACTGACCTTCAACCCATTTCAGTTTCTATTGTTGAGTGTTATAGCCCATGAAGGCTTGTCCACACCCAGACACAGTTCACACATGGATCAGCGGGTGCTGGTGTCTAGTCCAGTACACTACACCCAGTCCCAGTCCACACTTGTGCCTAGGGACACTGCAGTAATATCCAGACGAGAATGCAGCTTCCACTCCAGCCCCCACACTCACCAATGGGAACCACAACCTAGTCGGGTTATCCCCTTAGCTCCCCACCCAGGCCTGTTCCTGGGTAAAAACATTTTAAAAGATTTGTTTTTATTGGAAAGACAGATTCATGGAGAGAACACGAGGCAGAAAGATCTTCCATCCAGTGGTTGACTCTCCAAATGGCTGCAATGGTCAGAATTAATCTGATTCAAGGCCAAGATCCAGAAGTTTCTTCGAGGTCTTCCACATGGATGCAGGGTCCCAAGGCTTTGGGCCATCCTTTACTGCTTTCCCAGGCTATACATAGGGAGCTATATGAGAAGGGGAGCAGTCCGGACAGGATCTGATGCCCATATGGAATCCTGGGGTTTGCAAAGAGAGGGTTTAGCCATTGAGCTGTTGGTCTGGGCCCAACC